AATTTAATATAATATACATCAGAATTTGAGATTATTACTGATTCCCCACGCACACCTCCAAAAAACCATAACAACAATAACAAAAAATTTAATGTTAAAAAAATGCTAGATTTTGTTTTTCTTGTAATCAAAATAACGTTTAATACTTATATTTAAAGCAGATATTCTGTCCCTTTATCATCAGAGATTAAAATTCCCTCGTACCAGAGCTACGAGATACTATTGATTAATTTCTTGAAGAAACACAAACGTAAGAGTTATTAACTGTACATCTTAAATCATCTACATCATTTACTCCTTCAAAGTTCTCTGCTGTTTCATGAGTAGACTCTTGTGCCTGTCATGTTAATATGATAGCGTTATAAACCATGACTTAAAGCTTATATCAACTAAAGAAAACTGTGCAAGATAATAAGAGAAAAAGATCATTGCTAACTTTGAGAAAGGCCTTTATTTTGAGAATCAAGATGCAGTTTAATAGCCCAAGGAAAATATTTAAGAAATAGGCATTTTATTTGAAACATTAATTACAATGCAGATAATTTGTTTTAAACCTCTGCATGTTATTACTGAAATTGTTTTAACGTAACAGCATATTCTGAAAAGCTACGAAATTTTCCATGACCACACTAAGTTAGATGACAACAAGCTTTCGGTGGCACAGCAAATGCACCAGTGGTCAAAGGTTACCACTCCAATTACTGCATCTTGTTCAATTAAACCCAGACAAGCTTCAATTAAGCAAAATTTTAGTGGTAGATGTCATATACTAGTGTGCCTACATAATCTAACTTGCCTTACTTCTGGCATCACAAAAGCGTGGTGTTATGTCGTTATCATTAAGTTTACATCTTTCTGCTGCCCTGCAAAAGCAAGCGTTAATTCACAGAGCAAACCCAGGTATATATCACACAACCAATGACGTCTGCCTACCTTCATCCCCACACTTTCCCTTTCGAGATCTAAAATGTAAAACACCCTTCCAACTCCTACTCGAAAAGTGCCTCTCCCTTCCCTAGTACCCTCCACCCCTGAAAACTAGCGTCTCTGCACTTCATCCACCGCTATCACGATCACCCCGAAAGACAGGCCACATTCATCAAAAAGCGTCGGATTGCCAAGCTGAAATGCTGTCAGCCCCACGCTCCCTAATATTTATTAATTCGTCCGGGGCGCACCGCGGTCCTGCCGGGAGCCCTTGGCGTAATCGCTGTAGACGGAGGATTGTGTAACTGGCCTGTGTTAGTGGAAGGTAGCGTGGCTTATCTGGGATTATCCCACGTGTTTCCCGCGTGTCGTCGAGTCCGATTCTTGTTGTAGTGCTAAGTCCCCCTGTGGGAAGTTAATTCGCGTGAGGTTGTTTCGAATGAGAGAGGGAGTGCTTTTTGGAAGGCATGTTTTTAATGGATAAAATTTCGCCTTTTAAACTTCGGCGCAGGGAAGTATCAATAAGTGACGCGGGGTACGAAAGGTATTCATTTTGATTAGGGTTTAAATCCTAAAGATGAAAAACTTTTAATTAACGACCTCTTCCTTAAAATTAATAAATTAATACGATAGGAAATGAACTAGAGTAGATCATACCTAGAAGACCATGAATATAAAGAAGAATACACCTTTAAACTAATAAAAGTGTACCGTTTTACTATTATAAGCTAAACTTATAAATTAGTAAATTATGTCATCGGTGGTGACGTTAGTATTTTTAAGCATCGAATTAAAATTTTATCTAAATTTTTCAATAAAATAGGAAAATCTGTATGTTTTTACCATAATTTCGACAGTTTTTTTTAAATGCAATACATATCATAATCAGATAGGTTTATATTCTTAAATATGAAATATATACCTAGGCTAAATGTAAAATGCCTTATAAAAAGGGATTTCGTTTTGCATTTTTTGAAGAATTATGAAATTATTTGAAATTCAATGCAATTTGAGTTTTAATAGAGTCATTTTAAAATTTACATACTTATTAGACAAACCTAAAATTAATGAATAATTATACACAACAAAAATTAAAGAAGTTATTTATATTATTATATTAATTAAATCTAAGCAGATAAATGTATTATTTTGCTTTTTCTTCTAACTCTGATTTTAACATATAGACTACAGCAAAAACAAGGAGATTCCAGCTGATTCATCAATCATTTTAACGCGGAGTTGGCTCACAGATATAACCGGCGTAGATATTCAAATATCGGCAATTATAATACAAGACCTAGGACTACAAATCGTATCAGAGGTAGCAGCAACTTAGTAACATGGCCTCGAGAAGCAAAATACTCTCTGCCTTAGAATAAAAAAATAAAAAATAAATAAAAAAAAATAAAACTCAGCTTAAATACAAGCCAGCTAATTTTCATTCTGGCAAGTGAGTAGAAAGAAAGTGAGAGTAAAGATCCAAAGCATAAAATAACTGTTATAGTAACATAATAGAAGGTTAGAGCTTCTCATTAATCTCTTTCATTTTTACAGCATAAGCTAAAAGAATGGAAACAAATTCTTTCACATTGGAAAATAAAAGTACTATTAAACTTAATTTGCTTGTGTCGAGGAAAAAACTCTAATTTTCTGAATATGTTACAGCTTAGCTGCAATCATCAATCCTTGACTATAGTGAGATTAAAATTTTTACTCATAGTTATTAAAATTTCAACCACCCTTCCCACAGACATAGGTATTGGATTTTATGGCGTTTGTTTGATAAGTACCTTAAGATTACTGTAAATACAAAGAATAAACTTTCAACTATTGGTTTTTAACTGGTCTAAAAATGAAGAAACGATGATATATAAATTTACTTTTATACTAAAATATTTTTCTGTTTAAAAGACCTAGTTTTTGTATCTAAAAAAGCAACCTTTTTCTAAAATAGATAGGTAATATACATACAATATTTTAAGGCCGATTCAGAGTAAAAAGTTTCTAAATTATACATAATCAATTATAAGAAGTATTTTGGTGGCAAAAAAAGCAGTTTAATAAAAATCTTTTATGATATAAATTTAAATTCTTAACAACATTTGAGACCATCTAATTGATACAAATTTGAAAATTGCTCTTTAGGTTGTTCAACTTATTTACATCTGTAATTCAATAATATATTAACATGATAATGCATGATGCAAATTCATATAAAAATGGTTGAATTATTTTATTAAAATGTACCTATATCTGTAAATCATCTTGCGAAATATTAAATGACCCTTTAGTATAATTTTAAATCTAACTCACAAAAGTTGTAATATCACATTGTTACTTTTTTGTAAAACATGTTTTTGACAATTGCTAGAATTCACGAAAAGAATTTAGTGAACTAATTCTTTGGAAATCTTTATTCATTACTTCTGTTATTATACATATTACTTTATTGAGAAATTTTGTGAAATGAAAAAAGTCTTAATTTACCACCACAAAAAAGTTAAGACTTGAGAAAAGCATGTGGTTACCAAATATCGTACTTTTATCTGTACAGATTAAGCGACGTATGAAAAATATAAAAACATATGTAGCAATGTTAACGAATTTAGAAGAATATAGAGCAATCTTTGAGACAATTTATGGAACTTATTCGTTTTCCATTCTTCTCACATTACCAAAACACCGCAAATTAATAGAAATAAAAAATTAAAAAGTGTTGCTATTTGAAAACTTCAGATTAAGTCCACTATTTCATTTCAAAGAGTTTTCTATTAAAAGTTTAAAAAATTTAAAAACATATTTCACAACTTAGAAATTATAAAAATATTAAAATGAAACTGCAATATGATCTTTACATGCAGATTTCAGTTTAAAACAGTTGGTATAATTGTAAGCTGAGACCTATTAATTAAGAATTCATCTTCCAGAAATTAAAGATACAGAACATAAAATTTTATATTTAAATATAAAATAAAATAAATATAACATTTATATTTATTTTTTATATTATATTTTATCAAAGCTTTAAAATCAAGCAATAGAAAAAAAAACTATACTGTAACATTATTTTATCATACATAACGCCACATAGGTACTTATTTAATAAAGGAAATTTTTAATTATTTAGGTAGTATCTGTATCGCTTGCCCACAGGGCCTTGCAATATATATTTTTCTTTGGAAGAAGTACTTTAATTTTTTTACCATGAAGCGAAAGCGGAGGGAAAATATAATAAATATCTCGAAGACGTAAAGTTTTCTTTCGAGGTGCTTAACAAATAAATATAACGTAGGATTTACAATATATATATACCGAAAATTGTTTCCTGAAATTTGATTATGGGTTCGCAAATATGAAAGATAAAGTTTCAGATTATTTTCTATTCATGCGATATGGTTAGATAAATGTAAATGAGGCAAACACAGACCATTGTTTTGTAAGATCAATTTAAATGCATTGTAAGTTTCGAACAAGTAATGCAAAATTGAAATTACAATTAACGGCTGAGATGATTATTTTGTCTCGAAGTGAATAATTAACTATTGCCATATTGTCTTGTTATTCGTTTCATAAATTGTGCATCTGTGAATATAAAAAAGCAAGAAGCAAATTCTACTATATGCGTCAGGGGTTCAAATTTATTGAGCTAGTTAAATGCGCATTTCATAGTTTTTTCCATTAATAAGATAAATATGAGTCCTTTATTTTTAGAAAATTCTCTGTGGTGGCATCCCTTCTACTAGGTATACTTTAACTCATAAAATTTTAATACTTTATCTTAGTTAATTAATCAATAACCCCTCATTTTTTGCTTGGTGTGATGATGCATTGTTGCATGTCAAATACAGTAAAGGCCTAAATGGACAGACTTCTTCGTTTCTTTGACAGAGAAGAGTTTCTTTGAAGATGAGGGAGAAAATATTACATTTCAACTAGACATTACATTTCATTATTCATTGAATAATAAGCAAAAATTCTAAAACGGTCTCTTAAAAAATTTGCGTTATGAATCTCATGGATTTATCATAGGAATACCTGTTTACATATTTAATGAGAAAAAGGCTTAGTCTTACCTGTTGATGGAGCTGACGGACGGTATATTGTCCTGATCGCAGACGCCATCAGCGAGCAGCCGATCCCTAATCTCCCAGGCGAACATGGTCGGATTTTGTTTTTTGTAGTTGGCTATGGCATCCACCACCTTCGGCGTCGCCACCTTCGGTTTACTGCCCCCGATCACCCCCGGCTTGATTGAACCTGTCTCGTAGTACCTGTAAAAAAAGATAACATTTTAGTGAATCCTAGGTAAATAAATACATTAAATAAAGGAAAAATGTTATACTGCATAGCTGACTGTTTATTTATTTCATACATAGAACCGCTTTCTGCACAAAACGTCTCCAGTACACGTTTCGTGCCACCAGTACACCTCTCCAGTACAAATGACGGCATTCTTCATTTCATCTTTTTAACAAGTTATAGCCTATTTATTTTTCAACTTACAAAACTCTGGTATAGAGTTGTGCCTCCAGAGAAACGTTGGCACCAATTTGGACCCTCTTTTCTTCTACTAACAACCCCTCGAAAGAACCTTCGGTTCCCCGCGTATTTAGAGTGTGCCCATGCCGCACAGACACTATACATTTGCAAACGTCCATACGCACGGTACGGCAGTTAGCCTCGCTAATCACTATCCCGGTTGGGTGGCATATTTATACTCTAGGCTCCGACTATGACTTTACATCTTGTTTTTATTAATTAAATAATAATATTTAAAAGGATTTCTTTGCATAGAAGCCTATTATTAAATATTCTGTTTCGTTGACAATCATCAAAATTGACTCACTTGCGTGCCCTTTATAAAATGCATTATAAAATAGACACTTCGAAAGATATATTAAGTATGCTACTTGATTGGGAATGATTCGCCGTTTACAGGTATGGCACTGTTACCTTATTTCCCATCGACAGAAAGAACGTTCGTAAATATATTAAGTTAAATATTTTTATACATAAAAATACATACATATACCATTTATATGAAGCACAGAAGTCTCGCGACTCGTATTTGGGGGAAGTAGTTAAATTTGCCCAGCAAAACGCCTTGCAGTATGAAGTTTAAGTTTGGAGTTTAGGAGTAAAGAGTGAGTTTTTCTCGATATCTGTTTCAGAAAAAAAAGCATACGAATACGAAAACCCAGTTAAGAGATCATTATCAGGAAAACGCAGCAAGAGAGTGGGTGTTTTGCTTTCGAGATAACGAATCTACCGATCGTTTTTCAGCCACAAACAGTGGGTGTTTTGTTTTTCATTCACGAAGCTCATCTTGACACAAGCAGAGACTTCTTCCTTATAAAATATCTTGCAAAGGATTTTTTGGCAAAGTGCATATAGTTTGAGTTTAAGCGGGGGAAAAAATTCTGTCTGCCATATCAGCGAAGCATTTATTTACGTGCTGTAACAAATTTACTTTCATGCTGAGTTTATCTTGAATGAAAGTAAAGGTGACGAAAGCTGTTGATGAGATAAAATTAAAATAATGTGGCTTAACTTCTTTTATGTATACCTTTATTTTTTAAAAGTGCATTTAAAAATGAGGTCTGTCAAGGATATCGTGTCTATTATGAAAAGAATTAATTATCATTCTAACTTTTAGCTCTTTTCTCTTATGTTTATAAATTCAAAACAATTTAGAATATTCCTCAAAAATGTAAGCAAAATTGTAATTCCCTAATTCTTTAGAAACTATTTTTAAATTCTGTAAATTACTATAAAAACTGAAAATGCAAAAATTTAACAGATATTAAAGTATCCTACAAGTATTTCGTTTTCCTTCTTAGGTAGAAATGATAGTTACTGTTGCCAATTTATAAAGGGAAAAATTACTGCTGAATAAAATTTAAAATAATTTTATATTTAAAATTCTCGATGTTGCTTCTCTATTTTTAACATAAAATGATATTACTAAAAATACCAAAAATATCAATAAATTGAATAAGATAAAAAGAAATATATGTAAAAATATGTTAATCAAAACTCTCAATTTAAATTGTAGTAGTCCTCACAGCTTTATTAATTAACCAATCAAAATGGTATCGAAATCCAAACTAACTCCTTCTAAATTAAGATTTCGGCTGATCACATCGCATTTCACATCTGCTTCTCTTGCCAATAAGACGTTGCCGCGTTGTTTTCTTTTTACTGTAATGTTATATTAGTTTACAAAATGCTATGTTTTGAAAGAATGCCGACTAGTGTGCCAAGTTATTTGTAGCCGCAAATGTTTATTACGGTAAAAATGAACATTTGCCAAGTTTTTCTCATTAATGGATCTGGGTAAACAAGTTTTCTAATTTATTGCATGCACATATATACATACATATATACGTATTGTATATATAATTTATCATTAGAAAAGTTTTTTCATATATCATCTCAAGGAAAATAAATTTAATTAATGCGATGAATTATTGGAATAAATCTGAGTCAGTATTTTAAGTAACGTTTCTATGGTAATAAAATTTTCTAATTTAGATTTCTATTGTAATAAAAAATATTTTAATAAGCTATCTGTATAGCTTATCATTTTGCTAGAAATTTTTCAAGTTAAATATCATTTTAAACAAAAATTCCAAATATATGTGCACATAACATATACATATATACACAACAAAAACGGAAAAGGGTGTAAATAGTATTTTAAAACTTAAATCCAGCACAATTTCTACTAAGACTGTTATGCAACAATTAAGTAAAGTAAATTATAACCACAAACAATTTTTAAAACATTTAAATTATAAAATAAAACAAAACTGTAAATTAAAAATTGTATTATACTACGAAAAAATGTTGTTAACAGCCTTGGGCTAAGAGTAACATTTTGCTGTAAATATTTAAATCAAAATTATTTCAACAAGACCAAATTAAATACATAAGAAACTAGTTGATGTAGTTTTAATATCCATATCCTGCTGAAATCGTATCCGTATCTGTTAATATTCATTTCTTTTTTCTTGTTCTATTGTGTTTAATATCCATTTCATACTAGTCAGCTAATATATCAGCTAAATATAAAACCTTATCTAGTATCTACGTTTTATTCATCTTAATTTATCAGATGAAAAGATGTTTCGCTGATATCTTATCAATACAAATGTAAAATATTTTTGAATCAACCATTATAATCAATCCAAAGAAAATAAACACAGGTCTCAGGTATACCGTATTTTTTTCGGTTTTTCTCTTTTTGAGAAGTTTAAGTACATTGACCAATTAATTGTGTTTAATAAGTTTCCTCCCCCCCCCAGCATTAGAATTATTGGCTCTTTTCAAATGAAATTATTATGAAGTTTTAAAGTAATATGATATAAAATTCTTAATCAATATATAATATAAAGTTTCAGATCTCCATATTAAATAATAGTACTAATTTAAAACTTTAGAAGACCATGTTAGTAGCAATTTATCCCAAAAGAATTATTTAATTAAAATCAAACAACTGATAAACAAGCTGATAGGAAAATAATTTATCAGTATACTCAAGTATTTAGTTTTTGAAATTTTAGTTGATTATTTATAAACAAGTGTATTTTTCTCCATTTTTCAAGATAAATTATTTAACTTTCACAGTATAGAATATCAGAAAGAACTTAAGGTAAGTAGTATTAATTAAATTAAGCCGTAAACCTATGGTTAAAATAGTCATTTATTTGGCAGTTAAAGTTTGCTACAGTTTTGATAATTAAGACTTTTTCATATTAACTGGAATTATTTTGTAAAAATTTTAAGATATTAAATCATTATTCCGCTCCCATACTTTACGAATCATTCAATCCCATATTTTATATATGCTAATCCAAAGTAATAAAACTTTTATCCAAAGTTTAATGGTTTATAATTAGGACATTAGGTTGCAACTGAAAACGTTTTGTGTTTTTTCTCAAGCATGTTTTACAGTTATAAATCAGGTTTGTCTTTTCCTTTCTTTTTAATTCTTAGGGTCTACATTGAGTAACTTCACCAAATGAAATTTCAGATTCCTTTCTTTTACCCATTTATGCATTTAGGAATTATCATGCAACCGTAAATGGTATTTTCAACGAAAAACAAGCGAATTCATCCTCGCTAAATGAATACAAATATCATTTTGCAGAAAACTAAAATGAATTTTGTAATTTCTAAATCGGAATATTCATACAAAAGTTTTTTTCCAATTCAAAATTTCTTATGGAATTAAGGCCCACCAGCGGCCGAGCGGTAAAGTCGCTGAACACTGGTAGTTCGGTCCGAGGTTCGAATCCCGCGAACGGGCTGGCTGCATGGGCGTTTTCGTGGTTTTCCCCATGTGTAACGTGTATACGAGCCAGTTTCCCTTAGAAAGTCCTCCACGAAAGGCATTCCTCCCCTTAGGCAGATAGCCCTCGTGTGCTTTGCCATAATTAAATACACCTACACCTTATGGAATTAAGTTAGGAAATATAGATCTGAAATAATAAAAGTAATTAATTTGTTTTTTTTCCTGAGGCCTAAAATTCAGAATATGCATAAATATGAAGCAAATAGAAAATATTTTATACTTTTTTTTTCCTCAAATAGAACATTCCATTCATTTCCAAGGGAAGGACACGCCTATTATTTTTGTTGTTGTTTAAATGAATGCTCAGTAGTCTTTTACATTAAAAATCCTTATAGGACATTAAAAAGACTGGATAGGGGTTATTCTCAAAAAGACTGCTTTAACAGTACTTATAACCTTCCCTCCCCTATTTGCAACGATGCCTGTACCAAGGGAAACAACTGTGGACAAAAAATATGGATTTCCATCACCCGAGCTTCTCCCACCTTCTCCAAAAGCGGGAAACCTCGCCGTGTAACAAACGGTGAGTAGAAATTCTTCGCATGAAGCCGCCTTCGAGAATGTCCACCTTCATAAATGATTAGTTTAGGCAGTCCTCTCGAGCGTTGCCTCGGAGACCGTTACCATGGGCAACCGCATCACCAAGGAATTTGCCAAGTGTAGCAGGCATTCCGTGAAAACCGTTGCCGCTTCCCGAATTTTCTGAGGGAACCTTCAAGATGACGTTATTGGCCTCGTTTGTGGACGTGTTTAAACGGTGTGAATAAAGACAGCGACAGAAGAAAGGCGAGAAACACAAAGTTTGTTTCGTATTCTAAACCAGCTGGCAGACGCCTTGAAATCTCTCATAGCATAAATAATTAGCGAATAAGAAATGTTTAACGCGTTTAAAAGGAACGAATTATGAAGCCGACC